ATAATTACTCTGGCTGAATCAATTTGGGAAGTACCCACTGCATCAATCCCTGTAGTTGCTCTGGCTGGATCAATTTGGGAAGTACCCACTGCATCAATCCCTGTAGTTGCTCTGGCTGGATCAATTTGGGAAGTACCCACTGCATCAATCTCTGTAGTTACTCTGGATGAATCAATATGGGAAGTACCCACTGCATCAATCCCTATAGTAACTCTGGATGAATCCATTTGGGAAGTACCAACTGCATCAATCCCTGTAGTTATTCTGGATGAATCAATTTTGGAATTGATGCAGTGGATACTTCTCAAATTGATTCATCCAGAATAACTACAGGGATTGATGCAGTTGGTACTTCCCAAATTGATTCATCCAGAGTTACTATAGGAATTGATGCAGTGGATACTTCTCGTTTTTCCTTGTTTTGGAGATTCCTTTTTAATTATCTCATTTTTTGTATTAAGTTTGTCTAATAAGTTAATGCCTGATGCTATAGCAACTTGAACTGTTTTTCTCTTCATCTAGGAAGAAGGCCTAAAATAGGTGCAAGGACATTCACAAAATTTAGTAATTTTATGTGTTAATTTGAGAATATTAATGGGTATTTTTGACACATTAATTATTCTGATCTATACCTATGTGAGTAGATTCAGTTGCCAATTAGAACACAATTACACACTAATAGTTTCATTCATATGGTCTTGAGTGTATGATTTGATATGGGCTTATTGGTTGTGTCACATAGAGATGATGTAGTATTGATTAGATATGACTGAGAGGTGTGGTAAGCACAGTTCTAGAGGGAAGCCCTCAAATTTATAGTGCATGCCATTTAATATACAATCTACATGTGAGCGCTAAAACAATTGACACATTTTTAAAAAATTGTATAATTCTTGCATTTCTGTCATTTATCTCCAACCAAGTTTTGTAGCCAAGAGACAACATCTGTAGTCAACGCTTCCAAATACAGCTGTTAATGTCACTTTCATAATCCTAAGAAACAAATATTTTTTTTTACACGATCAGTTCTGTTGATCACAAATAATAAGTTAAACATATAATTTTATGGTTTAAACATGATTTTTTAAATTAATAATCTGCATTATAACCTCTTTTCTCTCTCTCTCTTTATCTTTTGTGGAGCAGGAATTATGTGAGATACACACTGGGTTTCACAGTGAATTGTTCAAGGCCTGTACCTCCAGCCAGTATAAGATCAGTGATTGTTTCATTCACTGGAAAGATAAGTTTGTAATTTATGGAGAATACTGTTCTAATCTACCATTCTCACAGGAGCTGTTGGATGACTTGTGTAATAAAAATGAGATTATCAATCAGTCTGTTCTGGTGAGTCATATATTTTATTGTTATATCAGTATTTTTACAGTGTAAAGATTACGAAATATTTCTTATTAAGGCATAAACTTTAGAACTGTAACTTTCTATGTGGGAAAGATATCACTAAAAGTTAAGCAGGAACTTGTTGTTACAGCACAAGAATAAAATGATGTTATACTGAGAGCTAAAAGGATTTTAGAATTGATATGGCACCTACCCTGAAATACAAAACTTCCAGTCTTGTTTATACATGTACTGCACAAAAGGGATAAAAAAAATTAAGTTCTCAGGGTGTATCTTTTTTATTACAGTGGTGGCACCTAATATATAATTTTCTTTGTTATGATGAAAACCTTTTATAAGTAACATACTTACTTGCATGAGTAGAAGTAACTTGTAATGATCTCTGAATATCTGTACCAAAATCAAGCACAGTCCTGATTTTCTACTTAATTTGCATTCATCATTTAAAACACACAAAAATAAGTTTAAAAATACTTCAGGTTTCACAAAACATTAACATTAAATGAAACACCCAAAACGTTTTCATAATATTATAGCTATGTTTCTTTGTATCCACCAAGAGTTCACTCCAAAGAAAGTGTGTGCTGTCAGATTGAGGACTGTTTTTAAATGATTGTATCATAAGTATGGTAGGAATGGGACAGATGTGCAACATGTGCTGTACAAATCAAAAACTCAAACACACTGCAAACAGCATAAAAATAAAATTTTATAAGCACTTTACACACACTTGTGAGTAGTAAACATACCAACTGCAGAGTAACAAGCCACCAAAGCACTTGAGAAAGTTGGTAGAGTAAAAACAAAAATTTCACAAAACCACAAATTTGTCAACCTGACTATCAGACTGACTAATGTTGTTAAAAAGGTAAAGCTGTCTCCTGCCTTCACGTCATGCAAATCTAAAAGCACATGATTGAAAATTATGCTACCTTAGCTAAAAGTGTTTTTCTTAGTTTTACTTATAACCTTTGTAATAACAAGTAATAACAATAACCATTTTTCAACACTACTAGCGAGATAACAATACACTATTAACCATAATCGATGATTACAAGCTTGCTTTGTGAGTTGCCAAGTAACAACCTGCCTTTGTATCACATGCTGGTGCACTATTGCTTATGTGCACATGCTACTTGATCAGCCTGCAGCTGTATCAGCTTGATAAAAAAAAAGGGGGACTAAGTAGATTCTCTAGATCTACATTCTACTTTTGATCTAACCTTTGAAAGCAAAGTTTTCAGTTCTGTGAATCTGCTTATGTGCACACGCAACTTGATCAGCCTGCAGCTGTATTAGCTTGATAAAAAAAGGGGGACTAAATAGATTCTCTAGATGTACATTCTACTTATGATCTAACCTTTGAAAGCAAAGTTTTCAGTTCTGTGCATCTTATTTAAGGGTTCTGCATTGGACAGAACAATTCTATCATACTAGTTGGTGCCTAAGATGTGAGTTTCCTATGTGAGGACGAACGCTACCACTGTTGAAGCTTGCAAACAAGCTGGAGGTGACACTAAGTGTATTTGTGTCTCCCGTTGCACTGTGTGCCTCTCACAACAAAAACCCAAAATCAAAACAAGTTTAAAAAATTTTTAAATAAAAAATGAGGAAGTAGGAATAGGTGAACCAAAAAGTAAGGAAATAAGGTAGGAATGGATAACATTACAACAGTTGGTGGTTTTTGATACGATGCAACCTCAAAGTAGGTGTGGCCATCACATTGCCCATTCCTACTTCATGTTTTACTTTGAACTTTGATCCAATTAAAGATTTAAATTGAGTTTTATTAGAAGCTAATCCTTTCTAAATACTCAAGTTTTAAAATTTCAAAAAATCAGCAGTTTTGATACTATTCCTTTGGTCCACCATTTACCAGTCAGACAGCTATAATGTTTCCCATGATGACTGACTATTGGAGCTTCCTGTCTCACTTCCAACATCACCTTCCACCTTATGATGTCATGCATCTTGTTAGAATCACGAATTTTGATTACATACATGTATCTGTACTTGGCTGCTGAAACAAAGTTTACAACAGATAAATTTAACTATATACACCTTTCATTTAGTTTGATCAATTACCAAGTTATAAAAAGCACATGAAGTAGGAATGGGCGGAACAGTGGTTACACCCACTTTGAGGTTGCACCTTGTCAAAAATCACCAAGTGTTGTAATGTTATACCATCCATTCCTACCTTGTTTCCTTACTTTTTTGGTCTGCCCATCTTACTTCCTAATTTTTTATTTGAAAATTTTTTACACTTGTGTACACTTAGGTGACCAAACTTTTAATGTCCCAATAAAAGTTATTGGTATGCACAAAACATTCTGGTTTTATGATAAAAACATCAAACTGTCAGTGACATTGAATCACAGACATAATAGGTGAACTTGTTCATTGTTCTAATAGGTACTTACCTGCTGCCAAACTCTCTCAAAAGTTCCATCTGTGAGTGGTGAGAAACCCAGATCTGTACAGGCCTGAATGTGGAGACAGTTATGGCAGTGCTCATCATTAAAATACAAGTTACACAGTCATGTACTGAATTTTACGACTATTTAATGAAAAAAAAACAACTTATATGTTCCATTCATTCTGCACAAAAATATGTCTTAAGTTTCAAAGATAATGCTAAAACCCAAAAGTAGTATGTTTAAAATGTCATGAATTCTTAAATAAACCCAGGAATGAAGTAGCTTATTTTAAGATTAATTAGATAAAGTGTATAATTAAAGATTTCTTGGATGTATAATTTGACTGTTTTTGCTCAGTTGTTTTGTGTCTGTCACCAAAAAAGCAGTTGAAATTTTTAAAAAACTAATGCCAATGTTAATATATTTAGAAATTTTATGGAACAGTTCAATAAATTTAAATTAAATTAAATAAAAGTTAAGTTACTTCAAATTTGTAATAACCATTTGGAAATTAGGGGCAAGGATTGTACTGTCTCAGTTTTTGTTTGGAAATCTGGTCACCCTAATACAAACACACACACACATATATGCACACACAGTGCATGAGCTGTAGTGATAAAAAAAGAAAAGATTACAACTAACATAACAAATTTTTGTTCTTTTTTGCAATGACAGGTTTTTTACACTTGTTAACATAAATGCCCACATGAAATACTATAGAATTCCCATTTTGCCCCTGAAAAAGAAAGGTCCACCTTTCGAAAGCATTCAGGTTATAGGGTTTTTATTCATTTCTATCAAGACTTTTTGAACCTACGTGTTTTTCTAGCATCATGAATAGAATTATCATCCTTAGCCCTTTCGCTGCTATGGAGACATACTTTATATGTCCATTTTCTATTCAAATTATGTAAACTATATGTATGTCAATAGAACAGATTACTGCATATATAGAGGACAAGCTGAAATACCTGTCAACTGATGGGGAATGTTTAAACTTAATTAAAATAATGTAAGTTTAACAGTAATCATATGTTTCAAAGTAATAACTTTAACATAAACTTTATCTCAAAATTTTAAAATTATAACAAAGTTTCCTCATAAACAACATTTGCAGTTTGCTTTCCATCTACCAACAAATCAAGATTTTGAGGTGATTTCACCCTTGAACACCCTACATCTCATTGAGAAAAGCATGGTTGTTTGAGAAACAATCCAGCAACTTTTATAGTTTGACCTTGAATCCCTTTTTTAGAATGTTCAAAATTGTCTAAAGCATCAACCTACAAAGATTGTTTGAGATTGACTCAATAGGCTGGGAGTAATTAACCAACAGGCTTTACAAAATAGGAACAGGTTTAAGTTCAATTTTGATCTCCTAAGGACATTCCCCATAGCTCATAGTGTTTATATACAAATTTTGGTTAAGATTGGCCCAATAGGTTCAGAGGAGTTAGGGTGCAAACAAACACACAATTTGTCTTTATATATATAGATTATTAAGGGAACAAGTAACTAATTTTAACTACATGTGCTTGAAATAGAAAGACTTACCAAATTTTGCCAAATTATACTCCATAAGATAATTCAATAAACAAATGCTTAATTGTTGAAACTAAAACTTAACATTCTTTTGATATATGAGTCGAAAGCAGAGAGAGTATCATTGGAAGTATTTTGAATGATGCTGGCAATGATGAAAGTTTTCTATGTTGAGTATGGGTACAAAGAAAATGGTAATGATGTTGATTACACTTTAGTTCAACTCTGGACGAAAGCACACTTGATTCCTACAAGAGCTGGTGCTTTTGACAGTGCAGCTGGTATTCAAATTGAGACAACAAGGTTTCAGAAAACTGACAATTTTAACCTGTTCATAAATTAGGACTTTATCAATTATTTGTTACATGAAACAAACCTGCCCAGCAATTTATCAATGAGAATAATTTGAGAAAAATATCTCGTATTTAGAGAATGATATCCAACAACCAGCAGAGAAATGAGAGAGTTTCATGGATTAACATTTCAGACTATTATTCAAAACCCTAAGATGGAAATGTATTGGTCAACTGATGTACTTCATGTTTCAAACATTTCTCTCCACCTAGGGTTACAAAGTGTGTCAACAGTTAAAGGACTAGTATTTATGGCCCATCGTTTGTGTGTGTGAATGTATACAAAACAATGATTTTCCTTTTTTGTATTGCAGGCAGCCAACCATCAAGTACAGTAAACTATACATACATAAATCATACATACACTTGTATTGATATATCTGTGTATGTAATCTATAATGATTTGATTCAACACATTGATCTATTGTTTTATGTAATTTTTCTTTCAGAGGTGTCAAATGGATGCTAATGAAGGAAAGTTTAAACTACGAGATTTACTTTCTGTTCCCATGCAGCGTGTTTTAAAATACCACCTCCTGCTTAAGGTCAGTTTTTAATATTTTTTGTGCTATCAATTATCCTTCACTGGATTAATCAAATATTTTTTCTAAAGTTTTAGATTGATTAATGAGAGTGCTTAATATTATTATTTGTGAAAATATGAAACAATTTAGTTAGCTTCAAAATGTGCCTCTTAGTTTATTTTATTGGTTGTATTATCAAAGGATAAGGAGAAATTACAAATCCCGTAAAAGCTGAAGTTGTGGAGAATTGACTAAAAGAAAATTGTTTCAACATAGAAGTTTTTTGGTGTATTTTTATACACAATTTTTGACATGGCATGATCTTTGAATAAATTGTGAAAAATTTATTTTATTTCTACTAGAATGTTTCAGAGAAGCTGCAACTGATTCTATGTTACCATAATTAGAGGATTGGAGAGAAATACTTTTGCTTGGTTTATAAACATATTAATAACCTTTAGCAGAAAGAAAATTATAAACCAGGTTTACAAACCTGGAAAGTATCTGTGAATTATTTCCAACACTACTTATTTGAGGACAAGTTTACCCTTATCAATAAAATAGTTTGTGATCTCTTCAAATTCCAAAGTTCATTTAACAAAGTGTTTAAAAATCTCCAGGAGTTTAATATTGCTGTAGTTTGTCATTTTAGAATGATACAAATGTTGTGTATTATTTTAATTGCCCTGCAATGCAAATATCTTCTAGTATCATAGGCTTTTGTCGTGACAGTCACTAGCATCAGTCTATAGTGATACAACATGGTGTTCCAAAAGAATAGTGATAAATGTAAATAGTCCAGAGAACAAGTTTAAGGTGTGCAGGCTATAAATGCTAACATTGAACCTGTTGGAAAATAAACTCAATTCAACGGGAAGATCACTGTGGCAGACATTTACTTTCTATAATGAAGAATCTAAAAAGTTTGGGTCTTAGTGTGATTTACCAAAGCAATATGTTAATACTCATTACATTAAGTGGGAAGGTGCAAGATGCTACAGGGAACAGATGGAGTGATACCACCCAAATTGATTCAGCCAGAGTAACTACAGGGAACAGATGGAGTGATACTACCCAAATTGATTCAGCCAGAGTAACTACAAGGAACAGATGCAGTAATACTACCCAAATTGATTCAGCCAGAGTAACTACAGGGAACAGATGCAGTAATACTACCCAAATTGATTCAGCCAGAGTAACTACAAGGAACTGATGCAGTGGATGCTTCTCAAATTGATTCATCCAGAGTTACTATATAACTTTTGTAGTATACATTGGAACAGTTCTTAATTTGGCCCTAAAGAAGTCAAATATTAAATCTGCATTTGTATGGTTTTTGACCTTTTGAGTTAAGACAGATCACAAATGTAAAACAGTTGAATTGACTGTGAAATGGAACCATTATTCTAGTATTCAATCCATTAATATCATAAGAGGGTTGTGTAATATCACATATAGCACATTTATAAATCCTTATAATGATCAAGATAGGTATGTGTCAGATATTTAAACTAGTTTATTTCTGAGAGAGAAATATATTGGAATTGAAACAGCATTCACTTCTCTTAGGTTGGGCTTAAATGATAATTATATTACCTTCCTATTCCTACGAGGATGAAATTATCGGTGATCAAACTCTGTAAACTTTATGAGGATGGTGAAATGGTTATATGACTATGGACTACTTTGTATGCTGCAAAAAGTCCCCAATAATGGTTGATTAGTCTCTTAAGCCTTTCAAGCAATGTGCTGTTGCTAGTGGTAGGGCAAATAGGATTTTAGGTTGTATCTACAGAAATATTGAATATAAATCTAAAGAGGTTATAATTTTATTGTATAGGTCATTGGTTAGGCCACATTTAGAGTATTGTGTTCAGTTTTGGGTGCCTTACCTCAGGAAGGAAGTTGAATTTTTGAAAAGGGTTAGAAGAGGGTTACCAGAATGGTGTCTGGGATGGAGGGATTGTAATATGAGGAGAGGTTGAGATCTCTAAAATTGTATTCTCTTGAAAAAGTAAGAGTTAAAGTGGATTTGAATTAGGTGTTTCAGATTGTAAAGGGAATAGACAGTGTTGATGCATCATTCTTTTTTTCATACTTAAGAGTGAAAATAGTAGGACTAGGGGATACAAATATAAATTTTGTCAGGGTAGGAGTCATCTTCAGCTAAGACAGTTTTATTTTTCTAACAGGGTGGTTGGCCTTTGTGGAATGAGTGAAATACCTGTAAAGACAAATAATGAAATAATGTAAGGGAAAAAAAAACAATATATATATATATATACTTGCATACATGGAGATTAGCTGATTAAAAAAACAAGTACATAACAACACAGCTCCTATTGGTGATAGTGTCAAAGGAACATAAGAACCACTTGTATTTTGCTTGTATTAGATTTAATGTTTTATACAATGATATTAAGGAAACATCTATATTTCAATATAGATAAATATAAGTCCATGTGTTTTCTAAATGTATGCATATTTCACTCCAGAAATATGTAACCAGAAAATACGCTGATTTCTTGCATATGATGTTGAATGGTACTTCACTGGAATTACAACTTTCATTTATGAATTATTACTTGTAATGACATGAGAGACATTTATAATTTTACATCCACAGTAAACATTAAATTGTTGTAGCTTTCAGCATTTTAAATTTGAGGACCTATTTGAAAATATAATCAAAGTGTGTAACTTAGAAGTATTACAGTTTTTGTAGATTTTTGTCTAATTTTATTACCATGTATTTGTGCACAAATTTATTTAATGCTTTAACATAACTACATGTATGCATTTTCTATTAACTTTAAATACATGAACAGCAAATGTAGTGAAACATTTTATGCCTAAGTTCCATTTGGAGTGAAATTTATTTTGTATTGTTTATATATATTTATCTGTGATAAAAATAAGAAATTTATTTGTATTGTGAAAGCAAAAAATTAAAAAAATCTAGAACCTTTCAATTCTAAACCCTTCTTTCAGTCACAATGAGGATACAATGGTGCCATTTGAATTTCCCATGAGCCCACGCAGAACTCGTGAAGAAGATATATATGAAGATCTTTGCTACGTCACTTTAAGGCTTAATGAGGTATTCCACAGTAGCAAAACAGTGTTACTGCGCAGCCAGCATGTGATGTTGCATGATTGTTTGCCTTATGTAGACATCACATAGCTTGCTTTTCTCAGATACCCATAACAAAGAATGTGCTGATGTTCTGCCTAATATGTTTTTTATAGTTTATGTTAACCTTCAAGCTCTAGATAGCTAGATATGCATGTACTTAGTGCAGAGCATTTTTGAGCATGAAATCAGATTCTGAGTCTGTTGTTTTTTGTGTGAATATTTTCTACGTTGTTATTAGGATTTAAAAATCTGCAAAATAAAAGAAAGCAGAACCCACACAACATGAAAACAAAAAAGAAATAGTGCTTTCCTCCAGTAATTGTTATGTGATTGCGACAAAAACTAACGTTTCTCTTTGTAACATTACCCTGCATGATACAGTTATGTTTGCCTGCTTAGGTAATTTATAATAGTGGCAACTGTGAAGCTTCATTGCATGTGGCCAGCATGAAGCCCTAACTGCAATGTTTTTTGTTGGTTAGTGAAAGCCAGTATGGAGAACTTGATGAGTATGATGAGTACTACTCATCATTAACACAAGATGATGGTGATATATATGAAGATCTGTGTTCTTTTCAGAGAAATGGGCCATCTCAGGTATTGTCTTTGACACATTTAAACTTTATATTACATTTTATTAATGATTTTATTCACCATGAATATTTATCACAATTTGTAAATACTTTCTTATTTGTTTGCTGTTAGTCACTCTGCAATCTTGTTTAATTTGAGCATGTGTTAAAAAGTTTGTAGCAAGAATATAAAGCCTATAGCTTAAACTATCAATTCTGATTGATTTAACTTAAGCTCATTCATCTCTGAAAACACACTGACTTATTTAACCCTTTCTTTGCCAGTAAAGACTCAGCCATTAGAGTAGAGCTAGACAACTAGTGGAATTCACTAATTGATCAGTCATCATGTTCATTAATTAATAACATTCAACTGATCAATTATTCTCACATCAGACTACTCTTTCTGTTTCAGCTTTTTCTTCTTTTAAAGACAATTTCAAACTACCTTTCATTGTAATCTGTTAGACATCTTCAGGTACAACAATTAAAGATTAAATTACTTTTTAATTGTAAAGTGCTGTACATGGAAATGTATCATACATGCTGTATTACAAAACAAGTAACATGTTGAAAATATGATTAATACTGTTCCATAGGTTTCTCCCTAAAATTTTCACGAAACTACTAAAACTTCTGAATTTTTGTTGAGGAAAATAAAGAGTACTTTGTTACATTAATTATAAATCATGAAAATACTGTACATAACACTAACTAGTAAAGTTTCTGTTATGTACAGCAAAATACAAGTTATATTTACTTAGTGCTGGGGATTTAGTTTAAGATTTTATACAAACATAACTAGATTGAGGCATGTAGTGATGAATGGAACATACACAACTACATCTAAATGTTCAAGCACATGGGTACTTTAGATACATCTTCACTGTACAAAGAGACAATAAATTTAATTTTTTAATAAGTTTTTAATAACTGCACTTGTGAGAGGTATAGGAGAATATGATTGTCGTGGGTATAAATTTAGTTTAAGATTTTATACAAACATAACTAGATTGAGGCATGTAGTGATGAATGGAACATACACAACTACATCTAAATGTTCAAGCACATGGGTACTTTAGATACATCTTCACTGTACAAAGAGACAATAAACTTATTTTTTTTAATAAGTTTTTAATAACTGCACTTGTGAGAGGTATAGGAGAATATGATTGTCGTGGGTATAAATTTAGTCATTATTTTGTACACAATGTAAAGTGAGCCAAAAATACTTATTATTTTGAATCAACAGTTATTTTAGTAAGTCATGATATTAATCGATTAAGCTCAGCAAACTTGAATTACTCACAAATAATAATGGAAAACTATAATGATAATATTTTGATTCCTTGGATATTTGGACTATTAGAAATCAGTAATTTTGATTATTTTCATGACATTAATTAATGTAATCATAATTTTTTAGTAATCGGTGATCTTACTTAACAGTAATTGATGTTCATAGGTAGTCAATTAATCAAGTTTTAATCATCCAGCTGTACATAAGAATATGAATTTTGGGGTAATATGAGTGAAATAAATACCTAAAAAACATTTGAAGTATTATCAATTGAAAATCATGTACAAAATTAATAACATTTCAGTAGTTTACAGAAGTCTTTTTTTTTTTTTTTTTTCATTTTTATTGAACAGGTTCTGAATATTTCTTAGGGCTATTTGGATGTCTGTTTCAAAATTTTAGGTTGACGTTGTTTTTATTAGACAGATTCAAAATTTTTCTTAGAGATGTTTAAGTATCTCAATCCAAGATTTTAAGCCTAATCCAAAAATTTCAGTAATGTAATTTCTTTGTTCTGAAAATAGACATATTTCCTTTAAAAAAAATTTAGTCTTTTAAGTGAAATGTAAACAATATATAAATTTTTTATAATAAATAATTGTTTTTTTCAGATTCTGATTTAATGAACCCGTAAAGTGGTTTTAAACTTTTGCTAAGTAAATTTTTGTTATTGAAGCAGGAATAGTACATCTTTTAATAATTCTTACCTTGAAGCGAAATTCTTCTGGAGTATTAGTTAATTATAAATTATTATTTAAACATTGACCTAAACATGTTAATAGAACACCATTCTAAAGACCATATATTTTAATGGCTGAGAAAGCAGTGAGTACAATTTTTTTTTAAATAGTGATTTTTTTATTTCAAATCCTCTATGTAACCTAGCCTTCTTTTTTATCTTATAAAAACTCTTATGCAAATAAAAATATTTTTGGAACTTTAAGGTAAAGCATCTTTTGTTCATTAAAATCTTTTGTCTAATTTGTGTAAGTTTATTATATTTAATGCTACATACAAACTAACTGGTTCCTATGTTTCTAATTCTGAACATGGGAGTGAATTTACTCCTCTTGTATATGTTAAAACTATTATATGTATGACTAATTGTATGATGTATTTTTATCTAGATGAGAAAAATTCTAAAAACTTCTGTTCATATACAGATGTTGGAATTCAAAGCATAGCATGTGTGTGATTATTAATTCATGAACTGTAAAAGTTAAAATTATCCAAACGAAACTTTATAA